TATTTTTAAATCGTTTCATGTCTATACAGTTCAAAACATGTTGAATATCTTGCACCTTTTGTCCTATATTTTTTCCGATATTGTCTTGATTATCTAGAGCAAATTCGAATAATTTCAATCAGTGCCTGAGATTTTCATAATATTTTTGATACCATAAAGCTTTTTATAAACGGAAAAACTGCTACGAGTAGATTGATGTGAGTCTTAGCTATCCATTCATGTAAAGACTTTCTCAAAATTCATTGAAGTTTAATTAGTTTCATGAGTCAACCGCTGATCGAAATGAACTCAAATGGGGTAATTCCAATCAACTGCGAGTGCGAAGTAAAGTAGCTTTTGCTCAACTATGATGCAATAATTTTTTTTTTGTTAAAAAATGAAAACCAAATCTGTCTTTCTTGATCAACAGATTTACAGTCTGTTGCACAATGTGGGTCAAATGAGTATTTTTGACACGCATGAGTGCTGTTTTCTTAGTAAGATACAGCAAATTGTTGAGAAAATATTCAACTAGATTACTGACTCCATTATCTTCAAGCATAGACTGAGGAGAACTAAACAAATGTTATATATATATACATATATACTGAATGGATGGTGAAAGGAGCGGAAAAGAAAAATATATTGATAACACTTGCTATTTAACAACTAGAATACAAGAATATCTATCGGATCCGATTAAATGTCTATCGGTTAAACCAGCTGCGATAATAAAGAAATAGACATCCACTCAGCCTCAAACAGCTATGTTGAAAACAGTAACAACAGATATAAAACAATGTGTAGGACCAGTAACTCGATCTCGTACTGGAAAACTCTCATCATCAACATACAGTTCGATGAAGTTAATGTTGAGGAAGCTTCAGCTAGTAGTGAAAGAGCCAGAGCTATACGAGTCTAAATCTGCAGGAATGTTGAACAGTTATGGAAAGATAAAAGATGGATACCATTAAAAGAATCAGAAGTATCCACATCAAGTTTAAACCGATGATTTTGTTTTATTTTTTTAATATCTCCTTCTCGCTTATTCAAGAGGCCGAAAACAGAGTCTCATCTAAGAATATTACATAGATATTTCTACTCTTTATCATTGGGCACAACCTTGAATTTTAGCTAAAATGAAATTCTAAAGTGGTTTTAGATCATAAAAATAGTAGACAGACATAGAACCACTATTTTTTTTGAACTCCCCTGTCAAAAAAAAAATATCAAGAGGAGGAATATCATGGAGCACTCTTTTTCCCAAAATGAGTGGTCCAACTCAAAAGGAGTACTCCAAAAGCCACAACGGAGTACCTACAAAAAATGAGTACTCCTGAGTGCTGCTTTTTTTGAAGTGCCCCGCAGTACCTCTGCTGCACTTTATAAAAAGAAGTGCTCCCAAGCACTCCAAAAAAGAAGTACCCATGAGTACGCCTAATAAGTGATAATTCTATAAGTCTTATTCGAAATATAGACTTATAGAATTATCACTTATTAGGCGTACTTATGGGTACTTCTTTTTTGGAGTACTTCGGAGCACTCCTTTTTATAAAGTGCAGCTAAGGTACTACAGAGCACTTCAAAAAAAGCAGCAACTCTTTTGTAGCTTTTGGAGTACTCCTTTTGAATTGGAGCACTCTTTTTCCGAGAAAGAGTGCTCCTTTCTTTTTTTCCAAAAAGAGTGCTCCATGATACTCCTCCTCTTAATATTTTTTTTTGACTGGGTCGNGTGCTTAGGATAAATACTTTATTATTATTGTCATAACAATACTAAATAATCTTTCTAACGCTCCTCTTAATATTTTTTTTGACTGGGTCGTAGCTCGGTCATACAGAACACACATCTTTCATAGTAGACTTGTCTGTGAAGTCGTATTTGTTTAGAGTGTATAATCTTCCAAAGTCTACAAAGCATTTTATCATTAGAAAATGTATAACAATGACATAAAAATTCAAGAGTAAATGGTACAGTATGTGAATGATAAGCAGGATGGAGCGGAGCGTTAGAAAGATTATTTAGTATTGTTATGACAATAATAATAAAGTATTTATCCTAAGCACAAGGATAATCACATGGACAAAAATCTCTACGATTTAACAGCGAAATACACAGTTTGTTTTGATGTAGATCCCATTTTCGAATGAGTTTATCGTATATACCGTCATAAATGAGTCTATTCATTGCTTGAGTAAGAACACAACAGAGTGGACTACCTCTGGAACAGGTAAGACCAGATTCGAGTATTTCATAACGAAACGGCAGCACTTTTAAACTTTTAGAAAAAAAGTTTTTAACAGAATAAGTACCTCTCAGTTCATTGGTTATACCGATATCTGCCACTTTATTAACGCTGACTGCCATGAATATTTCGTCATAACCATTCATAGCAATAATTTTGATCGGTTTTTGAACTGGACATGTTTCGTACAGATGTTTTATTAAAACTTGTATTGCCGATCCATTCACAATAACAACGGTTAAACCACATAGATCCGTTAACTTAGAAATGGTTATATTACTTGTCAGACGAACAAAAAATGCAAAACCTGATTTAAGGCCTCCAACAAAGCTTATACGTTTCGCTCGTTCACGTGTATTAAATATGAACGATATACTTGTGCTATATACTTGTTTTTGTTGAGTCGAGATAAGTACAGAAAATGGTATGGTGACAAATTTTACTTTTAAATTGAGTGTCTGTCCAATTTTATTCATTAAATCCACACCGAAACCGGTGTTATTATTTGAAAACGAAATTGGTTGATTCCCATCGAGTTGGTACACGGTCAATGTGCCCGATTTTCTTAATGACAATGGCACTTTAGAGCGTATACTGGAACAGTAGTTTGTGCATTGACTACCGATGATTGGTAATATAAATAGAACAAGAAACAGAGACACTAACATAGTTTGTTTTTCACTGTTAGAAAAAATTATTCTTGTCTTGACAATACTTTTAAACTAGACGTAGTTATATTCTGCCATAATATATTCGATAGCTAGATATATGTTCTCATATTTTTTCTTTTTTCTGCAGTAACATACAGGTAACATAATCTATCAATCACAGATGAAGTACGTGTGTAGTATTGTATCTTTGTATAAATACAAGGTGTGTCTGGTCCTATTCAAGTTTGGTTCTTATTCAATTTTCCACAGAGTAAAAAAGTGTTGATGATAAATTAATTATACACTCTGTATTTTGCTATTAAATCATCAAGATTGGTCCTTGTGATTATTCTTGTGTTTAGAAGAACAGTATACAACGTTTATGCTCTTCTCATAAGAAAGAGTAGCTTCGAATATTAGTAGATGATATCCTCCCTAATGTTGTACTCCTTTGGAATCTGCATATAATCAAAATAAAACATTAAGAAGCATTTAAAAGTGCATTTAGCGATTACAAGATCATTTCCAGCACTTACACAGGGAAACATCGGTGGATAGCTTCTCAAGTGGATCATGATGGGCGTCATCAAGCTCGTGACTAATAGCGTTTCCATACTTTCATCAGTGTGTATGCTTCCATAAATGCATCTGCAAAGCAACAAAAATGTTTAAATAATTTAGCTCTGTTTGTTCCCATCAGAATATTCAAGATATTTTAGGATATACATACAGAATAGTATTTAGAGCTTTTAAGCTACTAAAATGGAAGATTCTGTTATGGTTTTTGAATTTCCATATTGAATTTTCTATATAGAGTGAGTCAGTACATCAATGGAGGCTGCAGTTAAAATTTTTATTTATATAACTATGCTGAGAACGTTGTGATACCAGTTATATTATATTCTCACTGTAAAAAATAGTTGCGAGTAAAGCAGAAAAAAAACGCAAAAAAGTGGGACATAAGTGGCTCATAGTGGAAAATTTTCTTCCACTATGAGCCACTTTTCTGCGATTATTCTGCAGTATTGCGGGAAATAGTGAATATGTGCTGGAAAAATTTACCACAATATCCCGCATCATGATGTTTATTCTAGGATAATCCACATTATTGTAAGCGATTGTGGTCAATTGTAGTCATTGATTCGAAACAATGATTGAAGATGCTTACAATATTTCGTAATATTGTGAGACAAAGTGTCCCACAATATTCCAGGTTATTGTGGATTATTGCGCAACGTATAGTTCACTGCAATTTTCGATTTTCTTCCATCTCTTCCTTAACCCTTTAAAATTGCTATAGATTTCATAGGATGAGTGTTATGCCACGCACTACAGTCGTGCCATCAAACAATTTTTGCTGTAAAAAATGATATCCCGATCGGGATATGTCTTCGCACTTACAATCAGAAAGTTATGTTTCTCTAACAGGACTAATAACACTTAGGGCGCGGTTAATAAGGTAGATGAAACAAAGACAGTAGACAATAGTTTCTAAAAGAAAAAAAATAATGTAATATTCTTTTATAGCACGTACAAAACAGAAAAATGACTGTTCACTTCACTCAAGTTTGAAAACAAGCTATGCAAAATACAAAACTGGGCTCATTTATTCTTCTTTTCCAATAAACAAGTCTTCGCGGTAATGTCGTTAGCGGAAATGTCGTGTCATGCTTAAAACCAAAACTAAAGACATATTCTGAAAACCCAAACATTGGTAAACAATTTTTTATAACGTATCCCAAGCAAAACTAAGTAAGCGAGAAAATCTAGCTGCAGAAGTAGCTGCAGCTAGATTAACTAGATTAAAAGGTACATTTATCTAGCTACATGCTGATTAAAATTGTGTACTAGCTGAAACGGCCACTGCATGGGCCAATTAAGCGAGCAATGAATTGCCCGATTAATCGATAGCAACTAGTTGTACCCAATTGAAACTAGCTTCAATCTAGCTGAACCTAGATAAAATTTTCATGTATTTCTGTGC